TAGTAATAACAGTAAAGGTAAGTCAAGATTTTAGTAACAATGTCCCGTAGTAATAACAGTAAAGGTAAGTCAAGATTTTTGTGACAATGTCCTGTAGTAATAACAGTAAAGGTAAGTCAAGATTTTGGTGACAATATCCTGTAGTAATAACATTGAAGGTAAGTCAAGATTTTGGTGACAATGTCCTGTAGTAACTTCAGTAAACATTAGTCAAGATTTTGTTGACAATGTCCTGTAGTAATAACAGTCAAGGTTAGTCAAGATTTTGGTGACAATGTCCTGTAGTAATAACAGTCATGGCAAGTCAAAATTTTGGTGACAATGTCCTGTAGTAATAACAGTAAAGGCAAGTCAAGATTTTGGAGACAATGTCCTGTAGTAATAACAGTGAAGGTAAGTCAACATTGTGGTGCAATGTCTTGTAGTTATAACAGTCAAGGTAAGTCAAGATTTTGGAGACAATGTTTTGTAGTAATAACAGTCAAGGTAAGTCAAGATTTTTGTGAGAATGTCCTGTAGTAATAACAGTAAGGTAAGTCAAGATTTTGACTCAACAATGTCCTTAGTAATAACAGTCAAGGTAAGTCAATAATTTTGGTGACAATGTCCTGTAGTAATAACAGTGGGAGGGTAAGTCAAGATTTTGGTGACAATGTCCTGTAGTAATACCAGTCAAGGTAAGTCAAGATTTTGGTACAATGTCCTGTAGTAATAACAGAAAATAAGTCAAGATTTCAAGTGACAATGTCCTGTAGTAATAACAGTCAAGGTAAGTCCTATTTTGGTGCAATGTCCTGTAGTAATAACAGTTAAGGTAAGTCAAGATTTTGGTGACAATGTCCTGTAGTAATAACAGAATATTTAGGTACATGTTGCCATTAACAGTTTGCAGTCCCCCTATTTTGTAATAACAGTGTAACAAGATTTTGGTGACAATGTCCTGTAGTAATATTAACATTTTGGTGACAATGTCCTGTAAAGATTGTTCAAGATTTTGGTGTAATAACAGTGAAGGTAAGTATGTGACAATGTCCTGTAGTAATAACAGTCAAAGGTAAGTCAAGATTTTTGTGACAATGTCCTGTGGTAATAACAGTTAAGGGAAGTCAAGATTTTGGTGACAATGTCCTGTAGTAATAACAGTATAGGTAAGTCAAGATTTTGGTGACAATGTCCTGTATTAACAGTAAAGGTAAGTCAAGATTTTTGACAATGTCCTGTAAATAACAGTAAAGGTAAGTCAAGATTTTTGGAGTAAGAACAGTCAAAAAAGTCTGACAATGTCCCGTAGTAATAACAGTAAAGGTAAGTCAAGATTTTTGTGACAATGTCCTGTAGTAATAACAGTAAAGGTAAGTCAAGATTTTTGTGACAATGTCCTGTAGTAATAACAGTCCCCAGGCCAGCTTTAAAAAATTGTTTGGTTGCTCTGTTCTACCTACATAATTAAAATTGCTTGACTCAAAACTTTTAATTTTAACTTCCAAAAGACAATAATTATACACCAGCTTAAAAAGTGGGAGGGTATACTGTAATCGGTATGTCTTTTTTTAAGTTAAGCTGTAGGTCCATTTGTGTAGGTGTCCGTACGTCTGTCAAAAAAAGGGTGGGGTCACTAAAAAATCTTCTTCACAGAGTGAAATTTAATGAAACTTTCACAGAATATTCTAAAATGTTATTTTTGGAAGCATTTTTTTTTTGATCTGACACATATAAAATTGCTTAGCAAAACATGACCTTGCCATTATATTCATATGGGAAGCGTGGCCACAATAGGGAATCCAAGTTTAGATTTCTTATGTATTCAGATATTTAGATTTTAAAAATGAAACAAAGAATTTGAATTTTCTGAGAAAAAAAGTCTCACTTACTTACCAACTGCGGTCTTTTCAGCCACCAGGGCCAGGAAAGATGAAACTTTTGTGGAATTTGCATACTTGGGTAGTGTCCGATATAAACTTTTCATAAAATCATGACCAATGGGGATAACCAAACTTTGTACCATCCTTGGTTAAAGGGAATCAATATTTTTTTACATCGAAGGGCCAAGTCTCCTTAAAAGGGGATATATAGAAAAGACAAAAATATCTTTAAAAATCTTCTTCTCAAGAACCACTGGGACAGGAAAGCTGAAACTTATGTGGAAGCATTCTTGGGTAGTGTAGATATAAAATTGATAAAATCATGACCCCAGGGATAGGGCAGGCCACAATAGGGAATCCAAATTTTACATAGAAATATATAGAACAAATCTTTAAAAATCTTCTTCTCAAGAACCACTGGGCCAGGAAAGCTGAAACTTATGTGGAAGCATTCTGGGGTAGTGTAGATATTAAATTGTTAAAATCATGACCCCTTGTTGTAGGGCAGGCTACAATAGGGAATCCAAGTTTTACATAGAAATATAGATGCATATAGAACAAAACTTCTTCTCAAGAACCACTGGGCCAGGAAAGCTGAAACTTATATGGAAGCATCCTTGCGTAGTGTAGATATTAAATTGCTAAAATCATGACCCCTGGAGGTAGGGCGGGGACACAATAGGAAATCCAAGTTTTACATAGAAATATATAGAACAAATCTTTAAAAACTTCTTCTCAAGAACCACTGGGCCAGGAAAGCTGAAACTTATGTGGAAGCATCTTTGGGTAGTGTAGATTCTAATGTTTTAAAATAAAAAAGGGAAGGGGGTTGTTAGGCATGATAGGTATAGCAAGAGGGGGAATCTGGTAAAGATCTGCAACACCCAAGTTACTCAGGTGAGCGATGTGGCCCATGGGCCTCTTGTTTTTATTCTGAGCAAACAGAGAGCAAACAAACCTTATTTTAAACTTGGCCTAAATTGTCTGTTCTGTCATAAGATGTCCATTTAGATTGTCAATATTGTATTCCTTTTGTAGATAAAAAGATGTTGGTTTACACCATGGCAACATTTAAAACCGCTTAGTCCGATTCTAATCGCAAAAAATATATTTGTTTTCTTCTTGAAAAATAATTGTCAATAGATTGTTTCAGCTTTCATCAAATTATATCCCCAAAGTTTTTTTTTTCTTTCTAAAGATACCAAAATTCAAAATTTTAAAAAATGATTAATGTTGCATCACACAAAAATTACTCCTACAATTATATCGGTATTTGCATAGTGCTTGAAATTGCCTTTGAAAAATTAAATCTATCTCTTATAACTCATTATGAAAAACAAACTCGAGCATTTTTTTCCCAACAAAGTACATGTACACGGGCAATATTTTAGCCCCTGTTACTTTACTTACTTAAACATGTTTTTTTTTTAAAAATCATTAAAATATCTGATTATCCCTTATTCTTATTCTTTTTAATGTTTAATGTGCATATTAATCTTAAAATTACAGTGGAATATATTCAATTAATTTCTTTAATTTTTAGATCACCTGAGCCGAAGGCTTAAGTGATCTTTCCTGATCAAAATTTGTTCATTCTCTGTCATTATTGTCGTTGGCGTTGTAATCATCGTCATTGTCGTCGTAAACTTTTTACATTTTCTTCTTCTTTTCAAGAACAACTGAGCCAATTTCAACCAAACTTGGCACAAAGTATCCTTAGGTGAAGGGGATTCAAGTTTGTTCAACTGAAGGGCCACACCCTCTTCCAAGAAGAGATAATTATGAATTAGTGAAAAATTAATGGCATTGAAAAAAAAATCTTCATCTAAAGAACCACTAGGCCAAGAAAGATGAATCTCATGAAATCATCTCAGATAGTGTAGATTCAAATTTGTTCAAATCATGACCCCCGGGGGTAGGATCGGGCCACAATGGCCGATCAATGTTTTACATAGGAGTATATAGGGAAAATCATAAAAAATCTTCTTCTCAAGAATCACTGGGCCAGGAAAGATGAAACTCATGTGGAAGCATCATCAGATAGTCTAGAATCAAGTTTGTTCAAATCATGACCCCTGGGGTAGAGTGGGGTCACAATGGCTGATCAATGTTTTACATAGGAGTATATAGGGAAAATCTTTAAAAATCTTTCAGGAACCACTTGGCCAGGATAGATGAACTACTTTATGTATAGATATAATGTTATATGGTCCTTTTTCCAAAACTGTGAATTTCATGGGCCCTGGATTAATGAAAGATATGGAGATAACGAACAGAATTCAATATAAAAGTCCATAAAATACAAAATAGGAGCAGAGCAAACAAAGACCTCTAAACATCAGAGGTGAGATCCTTTGTCAGTTCAATGTATAAATAATGGACTAACAATTTGTATAAAAGACTCAAGGTAGCATTTGACTCAATAATAAATTGTATTTGCTGACAAGGTCATTGTACATGTATTTACCAAGAACTTTGGAAATGATGAATTTATACAAGACTGCTGATTTTCTTGTTTTATCAACTTGTTTATCAATAATTTACCTCGTTTAATCACCATACAGACATATAAACGCCACATGTAGGTGATGAAGGTATATTTTTGCATAAGTAAGGGAAGTTTACAATAGAAAAGTTAAAGATGTTACGTTTATCTAATAACTTGGCTGTTATAATTACCATTTATCGTTTTTTTCAAGTAAAGTATTCAAGTATGAAAGTATCGACGGATCCTGTGTCATGATGGCACAATTAATTATTGATTAAAATTACTGGTTGGTTGGATGTCTTGCAATAATTAGAGCGATTGCTGGTCTTGCTCTTTAGAGATTGTTTTGTGTTAATTTTCAATTTGATGGTAATTCATTTTCTTGACACTTTGCCTAAAATTTTGACGTGATACTTACACATGAAATTTTACGCAACATCAAACTGAAATATACATCATTAATCATGAATTAAAGAAATTATTCATTGTATGTGTGTGTTCTTTCAAATTAAAAAAAATGTAAGGTGAACATTTGAAAGTTAAATTTAGTGTATAGGAAAAAGTCTTTAATAGAACCACTAAAAAGCGAAAACTTAAGCGGAAGCATCCTGTCACAGGTAGTGTTGTTGATTCTAATCTGTTCAAATTACGACCACGGGGGCACATGTAGCGTCGGGCCGTAATAATAATTACTAATTAAGGGGGGTATCTGGTTAAATAATCAGCATGACACTAGTTGCTCCGGTTAACAATGTGGCCCCTGGAACTCTTGGTATCTTCTGGATACCTTGAAAAAGCATTACAACTGATTTGTATGTTACATTTACAGAAAGAAGAGGCAGATTTTGCATCCAGACCAGAAAGTCATCTTTTGAATTTACACTATAGTGTAAATGAAATTGAAATTGGGAATTTCAAACAATCCATAAATGCTTGTGAAAGTGAAAGGCCCAAAGCATATAACATCTGTAGGAAAACGTTTAATCATCCACATGAGTTACGGAGACACATTAGTATACATACTGATGATAAACGTCATAAATGTGATGTGTGTGAAAAGTCTTTCAAATGGACAAGGGACTTACAGAGCCACATGAGAACACATACAGGTGATAGACCTTATAAATGTGATGAATGTGGAAAGGCTTTCAAATGGACAAGTAACATACGGAGACACATGAGGACACATACCGGTGAAAAATCTTTTAAATGTGATGTGTGTGGGAAGGCATTCATTTGGACAATTGACCTAGAGAGACACATGAGGACACACACAGATGATAAGTCTTATATGTGTGATGTGTGTGGGAAGGCATTCACTCGGTCAAGTACCTTACAGACACACATAAGGACACATACTGGTGATAAACCTTATACATGTGGTTTATGCGGGAAGAAAACCTACCAGTTAGGTCACTTAGAGTCTCACATGAGGACTCATACAGGTGAAAAACCTTATAATTGTGATGCATGTGGGAAGGCATTCAGCCAGTTACAAAATTTTAAGAGTCACATGGGGACACATACAGGTGATAAACCTTATAAATGTGATGTGTGTGGAAAAGCATTCAACTGGCCAGGAAAACTACAGATACACATGAGAACACATACTGGTGAAAAACCTTATATATGTGATGTGTGTGGGAAGGCATTTACACTGTCACATCACCTACGAGATCACGTAATTATACATACAGGTAAAAAACTTTTTAAATGTGATGTGTGTGGGAAGGCATTCAACAGATTAAGTACTTTACAGACACACATAAGGCTACATACAGGTGAAAAACCTTATAAATGTGATGTGTGTGGGAAGACATTCAGCCTCTCACAAAACATACTGAAACACATGAGGACACATACAGATGAAAAATTTTATAAATGTGATGTGTGTGGGAAGGCATTCAATTTCTCAGAAAGCTTACTAAGGCACATGAGGACGCATACAGGTGAAAAACTTTATAAATGTGATATGTGTGCGAAGGCATTCACCAGATTACATAACTTACAGAGTCACAAAAGGACACATACAGGTTAAAAACCTTATATTTGTGATTCGTGGTGGAAGGCATTCAACCTCTCACAAAACGTACAGAGTCACATGAAGACACATACATGGGAAAACCCTTATAAATGTGTGTATGTGGGAAGGCATTCTTACACTCACAGCACTTCAAGAGTCACATGAGGACACATATAGATGATAATCCTTATATATGTGATGTTTGTGGAAAGGCATTCCATTGTTCAAAAAATTTCAAAAGACATTGTAAAATACATAGTGGTGACAAACCTTACATGTGTGATTGTGTAAGAAAATCTGTGAAAATCGGATTTAAGCAAACACATGAGGACACATACAGATGAGAACTCTATGATGTGATGTATGTGAAAGGCATTTAAACAATTAAGTAACTTACAATTGTATATTTTTTTTTGTATATTTCTATTAATATTACTTAGATATACGAGGGTCATTCAAAAAGTTCGTAGACTTTTGTCCAAACTTTTTTATTTAACGTCATATTATATCCAAATTTGGTACAAATATTTTAAGAACTAATTCAAATAATTTGAGTAAAAAAATTGGAATGTATCTTCATATTTATTAAAATTACCAAGGATTAAGAACAGCAAAAATGGGGCCACGGAGCACCGTGGAAATTGAGTAATTTACTAATTTTCACTTTATAGTATTTACAGCCATACCTCTAATAAATGGAGCTTAAACGAAATAAAATTTAAATGTTTAAATAAAGTATTGCTGTATTAATTAAAATAAAATCAGGTTATGTAATATGTCGCTCCATATAAAATATATCAGTTTCTAAATACAAAATATGGACATATTGAAAAATTCTGAAGAAAAGCAATATAAAATCAATCATGACGTTTTAGGACGTCATGGAGCAGCGAGTAGCAATAAAATTGCACCTTACATTCGGGAAACTTCTTTTACAAGCTTAAAAAATCCGTATAAACCAGGATCTGTATGAAAAATATCTTTGTATTTGTATTAAATAAAAAATACAATTTTTGAGTGGTAGCGAGTTTGAATCGGACGATGGATTGTCGGCAATGAAAGAGGTTTAAGTTAAAAATATTTTCGAAAGAGTTTGTGAACGTCATTGAACGTGATGTGTGCTTCACTGTTGCAGAATTAATAGAGTTACATGGTAAATTAAAGAATTTGAAAACAATGACATTCTTATTTAAACTATATTTGTACAATTATTCACAAACTAGGTGTTAAGTGTTATGGATATGATTTTTTGAATGAAGAAGACGCTACAAACCGTGTTTGAAATTAAGAAAATTAGTATAATTTTTTGCAAACTTTCTCAACGTTGTCTTTGACGTTACAATGTAATTTAACCGTGCTCCGTGGTAACAAAACATGTTGGTTTAAATTTTGGCTAACATGAGTTCTATTTAATCAAATGGAATGAAACTTCACACTTCGACAAAATAAATGTTTATGTAAACTTAACGAAAATGTGTTGATCTATAATCTTGTAATAATTATATGACGATGAGAAGCATTGTCTACGTATTTTTTGAATGACCCTCGTACGTATATCTTTTATGACGTTTAAGGCAAATTAATAAAACAAATACGTATATTAATAAAATATTATGTTTTAGTTGTAAATCGCTTTGAAATTGGTGGAAAAAAACCCCATTTTTGTCCTTTGAACAGTTGAAAAAAAAGCTTTGGTATGAATTTGTGAAATAAAAGTCCGTATTACCTTAAAAAGGAATTTTATGCCACGTTGAAAAAAGATGTTTTAAAAATATAAATATCAAAATAAAAAAGTTTTACCAACATTTTACAGTTATCTCTCTGTTTTCCAAATACGTAATGTTTTTTTCTTGAAAATCCATATTATTTTCTGTAAAAAATATTTAAATTTCATCGAATTTCATAACTTTTGAAAATTGGCTTAGGGTAGGCAGGTGAACAATACAACAGACTAATGCATAAGATTTGACAATGTTAAGTTTATGTATATCACAAGAGTGTATAAAACCTTCTGATATAATTTTTCTGTTGTTTGTTTTTCATGCATGTAAATGGATAACATTAAACAATTTCTTATTAATAATGCGAGGAATATATTCACTTAAATCCGCTTTAAAGAATCTACTAATATTTATTTTTTTC